GATCACAGATTACACAAAATAAATCATATTTAGTATCCCGCTCAGGGCAGCAAACAGCACCGTGCCCAAAGATTTCCATTTTGTCATGCAATTGCTTACCTGGATCCCAATTTATCATAAACCTGGTGTCCTCGGTCTCAGAGTGGGCGCCAGTGGGGGGCAGAGCTAGCCTTCCCCCTTTGTCTGCAGACAGCAGTGTCCCAACCCTGGTCTTGTGCGCTTGCAGACTCGGCCATATACCCGAATACACGGAATTCCCGGTAGAACGGAACCAGGCTGAGGTTCAACTACCAATAAACGCTGGAGGAACGAGTTTGTAGTCCCCAAGCTGGCTTCGCCTGCGCTGCTCGCTGGTCGGTCCACCCTCCCACCGGTCCGCTCCCAGGCCCAGAGCGGAGGCCACTTGCTCCCCCACCCACTCCTGGGTTCCTGCCCAGCCCTCCCAGGCCCCCCAGAGCTCGCGATTTGTTTTGCTTTCGGAACGTGGTCCTTTCTGAATTTGGAGAGAGCCCCGGAAACCCCCTCATAGTCGGGAAATACAGACGCTGCCTTCAAATGCGAGCATATTTGTTCACGTGACCCCGAGGGAAGATTGTACTGATTGAGGCTGAAACTTTCACGCCATCCAGCCCAAGAGCGCAGCCAGGCCTGGGGGCTGGGAGGAGGGGCGCAGGAAGCTTGGGACCCAGGCACCTTCCCTGGGGCAAGACCCTGGTGGAGGAGAGAAGGAAAGCCTCCACCCTCTCAGCTTGGGTTCAGCGCAGCCACAGCTTGGCCGACTGCAGAGGGGTGAGGACTTGAGAGTCTCTCCGGGCAAAGACCTCTGACCCTGGCCCGGCCTTCTGCCAGACCTACCAGTGGATTGGACATTTTAGAGGTTTCCTCTTAAAAGCCTTTGTGGAAAGGACTATGAAAAAGAAATCCGGGGCTTCCCTAGCTCCTCAATGTTCTGTACTCCATGTCTGCACGCACCTAGACAAGATGTCCTGCCCGTCCCCCAGGCTGCTGTCTGTCTGCTTTCCCCACTCACCGCCAGGCACTTAAGTCTCACAGCACCCGTTCCTGCCCTAAGGTAGGACCCGCTGGTTCTCAATTCTGGCCTATCACCCTGCCACCCCCGCCACTCCTTGGGGGCATTGGCTGGGGTTCGCGGACCCAGCAGGCAAGCTGCCACTTCTGAACCAGAATAAAAAAAAAAAAAAAAAAATCCGCCTAGCAGCAGGGCAGGCCCTGGCGTGACCTCTTTTCCTGGCGCTCTGAGCACTACACCCAAGTGTTTTGGGGTCTGGAGTCACCTAGGCGAGGAATTCCTGCCCACCTCGATCTGTGTGAGTCCAGATCTGCTCAGAGCCGACGGGATCCTGTATGATTCCGGAACTGCTCAGAGCCAACGGGATCCCGCAGACCCAGCAACAGCCGGCGCGGCTTCCCGCTTCCTGCGGTAACTCCAAGAGGGCTAGGGGGCCTACTGAATCGGGCTTACCTGGGGATAACGAGATTTCTATTTTAGAATTACTGTATCAGAACACACCTCACCACTCTGCAAGTGACTAGATGAGATCGGCGGTAGATATTCTGCTTGTAGGAAGAAGAGTTAAGCGAATCTCGGTCAAGGCTCACTCCTGGGTTGTAGAGAGCCCCTGTCTAACCTCTGGTCATTCTGCCCTCACCCTAGAACCCCCAGAAGATGGGAAACTCCCTCCCGAATTTGGCTTTCTCAGTTTCTTAGCGACTCTGCCAAGAAGTTGATGTCCCATGGCTTGTATGGCCTCTTAAGAGGCAAAATGAACCCCAAAGCTATAAATGAGCTCCAGGGAAAGGAAAAAGGTCTTGAAACCCCAATCTAGAGGACCTGGCAGGTTCCAAAGAAAGGGTCACTGGATCCATCTCCCAAACTTAACAGAGAGTTCCCTCCTTTTGTTCACCTGGCCGGCCAGGGCTCAGACCCATTTGGGGTGCCTGTTGTAACGGACCTTAGACTAACCCCACTCCACCCCCATTCTGAGGACCCCGCCCCCAGGCCTCCAGCCAGGGGTTGAGCTCGCTGCGGACTGCAAGTGTTAATTCCCCAGTCAAAGAGGGGGGCTGCTTTGCGGGAATTCGTCTCCAGGAAAGGATCTAAGCCTTCTTCAATCGGAGCATATGTTCATAGAGCAATAAACCGGAAAGATTTACAGTCCTCGCCCGGCCCCCAACAGCCTCACACCCTTTCAGGAATTACTTACGATGATTTATCACACCAACCCGGGCAATTGTCACACTGATAAAATAGCCCGGGCCTGTGCCCGCCAAGCCGGGCCTTGGGAGGCTGTTGGAGGCCCGACCTCTAGTGAGATTGGGAAGCCTTTTTGTGGGTTCCTTTCTGAACCTACCAGGGGATGTCTGAGTGGATTGAAGTGGGTGGGGTGAGCAGGGAGACGATTCTCATTGAGAAAAATGCAAGCAGAGAAAGCACCCGGAATCTGCGTGCAGGAGTCACTTGCTAAGCACATAAACATTTGTCATCTTTGAATAATTGAATTAATGTGTTATTGTTTGAATGTATAATTCATAACGGGGGAAACTTTGTTGCTATCCTGACGGAGAAATACACACACACACACATCAAAAATTTAAAACTAACATACACACAACTCTAAGCTCTAATCACACACGGCCTGCTCTCTAAAATTCTCCTCAAAGTCAGTGGAGGCACAGATGTTGGGGGTGGGGGGAAGTGAACGAAAGGACTGTCCATTGAGAATCCCGGGTCAGAGCCTGCAGCTAGAAGAAGAGAATGTTTGGTACTGGCCCCCGTCTCAGGGACGTGGCTAGCTGGGGTGGAGTAGGACCGAGCACAGTCCAGTCGTCTTTAGAATGTCAAATCTTGGAGTGGGGGTAAAAAGAGACTGAAAGGAGAGCAAGAGACACTGTCGCTTTTGTGGCTCACCACAGCCTCGCGCTCTCGAAGGCTTCCTCTTGCTTAGGTTGCTCCGACTTGGAGGGCTTCTTTTCCTTTTGTTAGATATTCAAAAAAAATATTACAAATCCGAAACTAAAGAGAAAGCAAGAAGAAACTGCTCGCTGGAGCGATGAGCCGCTGAGCTAGGGGTGGGGAAGGCGGAGAACGAGAGAAGTAGCTTGGAATCATTATCTGTTGGTTAAAATCCGCCTGGGGTAAAATTTCAACTCGATTTTATAGCCTTCTATTATGACGCAAAGAAAAATTTACGAGCCTCGCTTGAAAAGAGGGCCAGGGCCTTTTCTCGCTGGTTTAAGAATAGGCGGCAGATGCGGTGACAGCGACCATTGTTCCCGGTAGACACAGGCGACCGGGCAACCTCGGCCCGCGTGCGCCAGGAGTGTCCCCAGCCCGGCGGGATTTTTTTTTTTCTTTAAACTCCTGTTGTCTGGGGAGCAGGCTGCGCGCACCCTCACCCCCTGCACCCTCACCCCTCGCACACCCTCGGCATCCTTATCCACACCCTCTCTCTCTCTCTCTCTCTCTCTCTCTCTCTCTCTCTCTCTCTCTCTCACTCACACACACACACACACACACACACACACACACACACACACACACTCCGCCGCCCGTAGTAATTTTTCATAAGTGCAAAGCTTCGCTGAACCAAAGGTCACCATCCAAGCCACTAACAACTTCTGGCCGGCGCGCGGTTCCAAACCAGAGAAGCAACGGCAACTATTAGTCAGCGACTCTGACAGCTAAGTTCATTAAGGATTGAAATCTGATGAAATAAAAGTAGCCCAAATATTTACCTGCGGGCCGCGCTCAGCGCCCGCCGCGGGGCCGGGTCTGCGGGCGAGGGGGACCCCCCTCGGCGGGCCGTGTTCTCGGGATCCCTGCACTTTCCAAGTCGGAGAGAGCCCTTTGCGTGGCAGATTAATGACGACTCCGTGTTTCTTAAGGGACGTGCTGAATTAATTATTTCGCCAATCACGTGGTCGCGACTTGTAGAAATCTATTCTTATCATCTTCCTCGCACTTTGAAAATTCTCCTGGTTATGAGCGGCCCTCCCCCGGCTGCCGCCGAGCCCCGGCCGCCCAGCCCGGCGTGGGGGGCAGGGAGGGCTCCCCAACATGGCGCCGTCTGCCGAGGGTCCGAGTTACTGTACTGTACTCAGCGGGCTCAGCTATGGACTCGCTTCCTCCTCATCCCTGCCGGTGATTCAATACACACAGCGGTATTGATGTATTGGTGGGCACAGGAGGAGCCATTAACCAGAAGACGGGCAGAGGACAATCATAAAATGTGTCTGAATATTTAAACTTCTGTCTGCACACTTATAAATACACATGTCCACGCGTCTGGGTCGAGCCCTTCCATATATTAAGGACATATGTTCTATTTTATGTATTCTACTCATTTCCTGTCTCCAGCAAGACACCCCCTATCTCTTTTGGAACTCCTGTCTTGGCCCCCTCTTCAAAGCTGAGGCCAAGATGTGGGAAAGCCCTCGTGATAAAAATAGTGCATGGTACTTTTTCTAGTAGAGAGTGTTTATTGTTGTTTGAGGGGCCAGAGGGATTCAGGGAAGGGGGGGCAGGTGTTGGTAACCACAGAGGGGTTCAGCAGCTCCAGAAAAGTAGGAGTCCAAGATGGGGGGCTAGACAGGTCAGGTCGGAGCAACCACCAACCAACCAGTCTCAGCTGGGCCCAGAACAAACACTCACCCCAGTCTCTGGAGAGTGGGAAGGTTTCTCATAAAAGGCATCAGGAAAACTTCCTTGGGTGAGGGGGGGGGGGTCCTAAGAACTGGCCAGACAGAAAACCTATTTGGAGCCCCCTAGTAGTTCAAGCAGTTGCTTCTCTTTCTTTCAACAAATAATGCCCTCCACCTTGCAGCCTGGATCTGGCATCAGGCTTTCCAATGCTCACAAAGTAAAGAAGTCAGACTGGGAGTGGATGGAAATGTAGAACTGCTAGACCTTACATGACTTTTAACTTTCACACCATAGGCCCCAAATAACTTGGTGTCAATTTTATTGCAGAAAATAAAAAGATAAATTGTTTATAATGAATGCTGGTTTTTGGGAAACTTAACAAAGAGTCTCTATCAAGGCACCAAACAGGAGGGAGATTTTACTACACCTTTTATTATTTCAAATATAGATCAATGAATTACATCAAAACTACAGGCAACAATTAATATAAATAATACTTTAATCAGTGGTGGTAAAACACGGTCAATTCTATTTTTAAAAAGCATCTTTGTGAGCAGACTCCAAGGGGCTGACTGACAATGTCACCTCTCAACAAAAGGCTGCAATGAACGAAGTGAGGTGTGAGCCCGAGGCCCACTCCTCAGCAAAGGCTCCACTCCTCAGCCCCAATCACCACCCCACACAGGTTTTAAAACACCCAAATAAACACTTCTGGCTCATATTTGGGGGAACAAACTGGAAACAAAGAACAGCAAATGGGCACCAGGGCCTTTCTACGTCTTGCTTTCTCTACAGCACGTTCCCAGATGGAGATGCAGTTCCTTCCCTGCCCTAGGTGACCAGGGTGGGGGGGGAGTGCGGGGGCTACCCCTTTCCTGGTCTTTTGGGTCCTCTTTTGGACCCAAATGGATACTAGGGTTCGAATGGGACTTCAAGACTGGCAATTGCTCTTTAGGCCAGGCAAGAGCCATTAGCATTTCAAAAGACAATCCCTCCCAGCTGAGTAGTAGAGCTGAGTCTTAAAAACAAAGAAGTTGTTTCTCGGGTTAAGTTACTTTCCAAAGTAGTGGGGCTATGCTTGGGAAGGAACCAGGGTTTTCTTCTGGAAAGCGTACTTTTGGCTTTCCCTTGGGGCAGGAGGAAGAAGGGGTAGTATTTGGTCTGAAGCTGGAGGAGTAACCAGGACTTTGGAGAAGAGGAGAAAAAAAAATCTATATAATAATCTTCATAGTAAGTATATATGGTTGAATCTTGTGAAAATATATACTCCCCTGACCCAAGGCCGTGGTTCAATATTTGCTCAGATTTGGCTTTTAGGAAAGAATCTTAGCAACTTGCCAATTGGCCCAAGGATAGCTAGCTGCCCTTTTCAAACACAGCATCCAAAGAAATTCCGTGTTAGAGGGACAGGGAAAAGAGGAGAAGGGTAGTTACAGTCCAAAAGGTTAAGGGTTTAGAGGTCAGTCCTCCCGGCTGAAATACAACCAATCGAACAGAAAATTTGCCCTCTGGGTGAACCTGATTCTGTAATTTAGCCCAACTTCAGTAAAATACCTTTTCAGCTTCTCAACGTGAGGGCGTCAGAAAAAAAGACATCTTGACTATGTATGAACTCTGTGCTTTTTGTCATAGAAACAATGATGCAAATAATGCAGGAATATCCATCTTTAATATCCCGACGTGGTGATATTCAAGTATTGCCATGTGCAAGTCTGAGAGCAGGCTCACCCCAAGGAGGGACAAAGAGCTTTCCCCAGGGTCGAATACAAAAGACCAAGGCTTGGAAGATACTTCAGAGAAGCAGAATTTCAGTTTAGGGACTTCAGTTGAATCCTTGCCCTCCCTCAGCTCTCAGGAGACACAGAACCAAAGCCCAGGCCTTTTCCTCCTCCACTGAAATCTATTTTAAAAACAACCGCTGAAACCTTCTAAAGTATTCTGAAATACTGAGAAAAGTAGCAGCACTATTGATCTTATGAGTAAAATTTAAGTTTACCCCTCCCTATTTCTTACTGGGGTGGGGGAGACTGCAGTCAGGAGTTTCTGTCTGGAGCCCAAGCTTTGGGGTTCAAGCTTTCAAAACCTCATTTCATTTGAGTGTATAAGCTCCATCATCACCTTTGACCCTTATCTTCCTCGTCGTTAAGGGTTAGTGTTTTATGAAAATGAGATTTGAACTCTTCCCAGACGAGAAATAAAAGTAAATAAATAACTATCCTTACTGTTGTTTGAGCTTGTTCTAAAGCCACTGGCTTCAAGGTAAAGCCACTCGGCTTCAAGGGGACCTGAAAACTTTGAGGCTTTTACAATTTCTACTTGTAATTAATGTCTTGAGAAACACTTCAGAAAACACACACACACACACACACACACACACCCCTCAGGGAAATATCTTTAAGATCAACTTTTGTGGACTTCCAGAGTCTATTAGTTCCTTTTTAAAAACAAGACTTCCTCACCTACCAACCCTCTTTCTCCCTACTGCACAGGGCCACCCACCCTCCATAGGCCATACACTGATTGTGATTCCTATTTTTTTAAAAAAAAATCTGCTATGTGGAGGTACTTGGAGCATTTGGAATTCAGTTGGAAAAGAAAATTCAGAAATTACCTGATGACCCAGGGCATATAGGTTTTGTTTTCTTTCCCCGGAGAAAAATATTGGGCCATTTGTTTCTTATTTCCCCTTCTCTTTCTTTCAACCACCTTGCAAACACAGTGCTGGAGCAAGCACATGTGGAAATACATTTTCAAAACTCAGTTTTCCTGGGTCCTTGACTTCCCTCTGGGAGAGTTAAGGGCCTCCTACACATATTTCCAGGGGATGGGTGGGAGGGAGGAGCTCAAAATCCCAAATAGGGCCAGAAGAGAGTCCACAGATATCTAATTCAGCCCCCTGAAGCTCGATTCTTTTCACTAGCCTAAGGTTTTTGGCACACAGGTGCCAGGGATTTTCTGTAGTTCATTCCCCCAACAAATAAATATTTAAGCAAATATAATCAGAACATAAAATAACCCGTTTCCACTTCCTTCTTGGATTTATTTCTTTGGGCCTGGGCCACTGGGAGCAAAGCATTTCTCTTTATCACAGCAGAAATTATATAGATAACTCAGAAAGTTCTGAGACTCTCCCTCAGCTCTTCTGTTCACACTGAAAGCACCTAGCACTGGGTGCTGGCCTTCTGCCTCAACTACCCCCACAGCTACTAAGTCTCGCAGCCCCCTGAAGGGGTGGTGTGGAGGAGAATGTTCAGGTTCCCACTGGAGTAAAGCCTCCAACCTTCATTTGCAAATTCAACATCCAACAGCAGAGATTTTCATGAGTTTAATGACTCGCCAAGGTTTTATGTTCTCAGTAGCTCCTGCCATATGATAATATACTTAAAGAAGCCCGCCCACCCTCCCACCCCATCCCTTTAGGGAGGGGGCTGCCCTCGGGCAGGATGGTAACCTAGTCCGAGAGCGGCCTGCAAGTCCCAGGTCCACCCCCACAGTACCTTAGAGCCCAGGGAGGTGACAGCAGGCCCCGCCTGCACCCGCAGCTTCGCCTCAACCTGGAGTGCAGGGAGGGATGGGCCCAGGGTCCCCACTTCTATAGGGTCGTCAGGTCCGTATGGTGGTCCTTGGCCATGGACTGCAAATGCTGGCCGGGGGCAGCTGAAGAGGAGGAGCAGGAAGATGAGGAAGAAGAAGAAGACCTGCCCTTGGTGTTGGGCAGTTTGTGGTCTTTTTTCCACTTCATCCTCCGGTTCTGGAACCAGATCTTGATCTGGCGCTCTGACAGACACAGGGTGTGAGCGATTTCAATCCGACGGCGTCTGGTCAGATACCTGTTAAAATGAAATTCCTTTTCCAGTTCTAGGACTTGCTGTCTGGTGTAGGCTGTCCGGGAACGCTTGGGCTCCCCGCCGGTGTAGTTGGGGTTCACTGTGAGATAAAACAGACAGGACAGCCAGGTCAGAGCCCGGCCACTAGTTAGGCCCCTGACTTGCCTCTGCCCTCACTTCCTGGCGCGTCCTGCAGCCCTCGGCCCTCCCCGTGCTCCAAGCTTGCCTCTTTCCTCCCTCCCGCCCTCTCCCTAAGAATACACATACTCCCACCCAACCCCTTCCACGCACCCACTCCCCAGGCTCACATATCCTCAAAGGTGCTCCCTTCTCCCTGGCCCACCAAGAGCTCAGGATCTCCAACATTTTGGAAGTGCCCTTCTCCCAGGTCTGCGTTCCCTCTGCTGTGGAAATGGAGTCCTCCCCCACCCCACCCCCATCCCCACCCCCTTTTGCGCCCACAGCCAAGCAGCCAGCCACATGGTCCCGGCCTGCTCCTTCAGCTATAAAAATTTATGGAGAGAGTAATTGTGGCGCCCAAGGAAGCTTCACAAGCCCCCACCCACTCGCACCCCCTCCAGGGGGCCCAGGCCAAAAGATGTGAGTAGAGGTGGGGGAAGGCTGAAAGGTCGCTACACCCGCTCCTTACCCGAATTCACATGCACCTTCTTCATCCAGGGGTAGACCACAGCCGGCTGCTTGAGGGCTGTCCCCGGGGGCGGCTGCTTGGGGCCGGTGGGCTGGCTGCAGGCCCGGGCGCCAGGCAGGGGCGCAGGCGGGGGCGCTGGGCACGGCTCTCCCGGGGCACCGTAGTGATTTCCTGGGCCACTCGGCTCCTGTCCGTGACCCCGCGCCGGTAGCGCTGAGCCAGGCCCCTGCCCGCCGCCTCCGAAGGGTTGCTCACCGAAGTCGGGCCGTGGATAGAGCCCCGAGGGCTGGAAGTCGGAGCCCTGTGCGCCGCTGCCGTAGTAGTCGGCTCCCTGCTCGCCTAAATAGCCACCCTGCAAATATTCCTCGCACGGAGGAAACTTGGGGTCCACGTACTTTGAGTTCACCATATACGAACTCATGGCCATTAATTTCAGAAGGTAGAAAATACTAATTTTTCTCGTGTTGTCTTTTTTTCTCCTTCCATTGGGCCCTCCTACTTGCTGTCAACTGAATAAAGTTGGGCGGCCATGTGACCAGGCCAGCCAATAGGAAGGGAGCGAGTTTATCACCGGGTTTGTGAGCATCTCATAATTTTAACAAATTTAACTAAATAACATACGTGTAATCAAGTGACTTGCCATGCCACATTTGAGAGTCCCTGACAGATGTTAATATAGTTCCAATTCTATCCCCAGTACCCCTGTTCTCAGCAGGTTACCCCGGCTTTTGTCTTCCACCGACTTTGCTAACCTCCCATGCCCTCCTCACCACCATCGCCTGAAGCTGTCTCCGAAGTGGGCACAATTCCAGGAAGAGCGAATTCTCCTATTGGGGTGCAAAATGAGGAAGAATGAGTGTGGGCAATGTGGCCTCTGAGTTGGGTAGAGAGCGTCCCAGGCAGGCAGCCTGCCTGGCCAGCTGGCGGGAGTCCTGGACTCTGACATACAAAGACCTGTCCTGGCTTTGTTTTCACCAGGGTCACCCAAAAGTTACCAGTATCTGGCGGATCTGAATTGAGTTAGGCAATGAGTAACCGCTATGGTTTTCCGCCCATGTCCAGGCTGGGGTGTTTCTAGTTGAAGTTGGGTCTTGATGATATGGCAGGAGGCCCTTCACTGTCCTGGGTCTGGTAGCTGTGGATTGGGTCAGGTTGGGATGATGGTGAGGGGACCTTAACTTTGCCTAAATGTACCCCAAAGGTCTCCAATGGCCTTTTGTCCAGATTGTATTCTTCCCACACAAGGGTGCTAAAACCAGGTGAGCCCCATTTGGGGACCGTCATATCTCGATATGCTTCTGAAGGAACAGCTGCTGTAGGAGCTTGCTGGTCTTTCACCTCACTCCCCAGTACCCTAAAACCTGGCCTTTTGGTCTAACACTCAGACAACCCCTTAAGCACCTCCTGGAAGCTCTATTGGTAGAAGTGAAGGCTTCTCCAAGAAAAGACTGCACAATGTCACCAGAAAAAGTCGATCATCCTGGAATCCAAGGTATGAAAAAGAAAGAGGTGGCTGGCCGGCTTTGCGGCCCCAATTCTCGGTGCCTTGTTCTGGCTATGTCGGAGACATATGAAGTTTTTGCATCGACCATATATTCCCCTAGAATCGAATCTGTGACTATGTGGGTACCACACAAATTCGGTTCTACAGGGTATATATAGACAACGTTACAACCTCGGGTCCTACCCAGAGCAGACACTCAGGCAGCCGCCAGCCTAGATCTCTTCAGCTCAGCCACCAGGAACTCCTCAAGCCCGGTTTTCAGAGACAGTTCAGGTAGGCTCCGGAGACAATTTGCAGCAATGAGTCCCATTATTCTGTTGCTTTGATCAGGGCTACGGAGCAGCTGAGCAACCAAGAGCTGCTTCTTAAAGATAGAAAAGAAAAAAAAAAAAGAGGGAATTTTCTTTCACCCCAGAGATAGAGGCTTTATTGCCCCCTTCCAGAACCCAAATCTCCCGCCCCCTTATCAAGTGGTATTTCCCAAAACGAAGCAAAGGCCCTCAGCGGCAGGGAGTTTTGAAAAAGGCAAACGGGGATATTCTCCACCAATTCCTGAGCCAGGTTTTTGGTCGCAGCTAGTCCTGCCAGAATTCAAGCATTTACCTTCCTGGGCCCTCAGCCCCGCTGGACTTTCGGATCCCGCTGCGGCGGCCGCTGCTGCTGCTGCTGCTGCTGCTGCTGCTGCTGCTGCTGCTGCTGCTG